TTCTCAACACACTGAAACAGCAAGCACTGATTAATATTTCACTACGATCAACAAAACGATCAAGCAATGTTCAAGAATCAGGAGAAGACACTACCTTGTGATTATCTTTAAGATCAGTGACTAAACATAAATTGCACTTCGTACAATGGAAGTATTTCTCTTTTGGGCCAATTCTAAAGGTAACAGAGGAGAAGAAAGTCAATGAGAATCTTACTAAAAGAATTACAAATGTATTGCTGCGGTTCAATAATGAAGACACCTCTAATTTGTACGTCGTTTTGCATGTTTTGTTTATTCATTTGCTAAATGAATAAACGTAAATGTCATGCAAACCTGCATATCCCGCAGGGCTGGCAGTGGTACTGCTTCTTGTCTTTATCAAACAGATGGCAAATGTCACAGTAATACTCCCCAAACTTCACGGCACATTCTTTACATGTCTGTTGAGCCTAAAAAAACACAGGATGCACAAGAGCTTTAAATATTATCAGAGAAATAAATATATAGCCTATATTTTGCATTGAGAAAAAGCCTATTTACAGGTTTTGTGAGATTCATCCACGCAAAGTCGATTTTATTTAGAACTTAAATAGCTTAAATATGACTTTACCTCTTGAATAGTATTGCATGCTCCACATTTGACCTCTCGGACCTTAAAGCGGTCCATTTGATGGTTCTCTTCCCCATCATGACAGAGTCTGCAAACATAAAACTTCCCACAGCAGGGCGCCTACAGAGAGAGACAGATCACAAACACATTTCAATGCACATGCAACAACCCAGTTAGAAGCACCACTGTAATGCACACTGTATGTTAAAGCAAGAACATCACTGCCATCAAACATGCTGCAGGAACAAAACCATAACAAACCCCTAAACTGTTTATTTCTTTGTCCCTAGCGAGCAGAGCAGCGAGTCTAAACTAACATATCGAATTTGTTGCCTTTAAGCCAACAATAATTCGATTTTAGTTCATAAAATAATCTTATACCAAACATAAAAACCTGTCAATAGGTCTTCTTCAGTGATGTATATTCCCTTCAGTTAGCTAGTATGCTAATTAGATTCGTTTCAATCACACGTTCTAGCGCGACAAAGCACGCATTTATCCAAATAACCGAGCTAACTTTTTAATATCGGCAAGCATGTGTGAAACACAAAGTCTACATGTAACTAAATGTCGCTCACTTTTAACAAACAGCTTCGAACGTAATGAACACATCCGTCTGGCGTGGCGGCCATGTTTCATTTAAATGCTAGAAACCTTTATTTAAAAGTCCTTTGACGTTCGTGCTCGGGGTTCTCGGTCTATTCCACTGAATTACAAAAATATATGTATTTTCTTTTAAACATAAGAAAATTATTTTATTTTTTTTAATTTAATAGTTTCATAGTGAAGCTTTAATTTTACGATTGTTATGAAAAACAGAATATTTTTGAAGATACTAATCCATGTAAAGTGAAATCTACTTGATGTGTAGTCCTAATGAAATGAAATATGTAGAACTGCATTATATTTCCTGACCCTATACGGGCCATTCATGGGATTCGGTAACATTTCAACTTGGAATATATATACACATAGCCTATCTATCTATCTATTATAGACTATATCTATCTATTAGCCTATTGACTTATTGACTATACTTATTGAGTTGTTACACTAAATGAAAATGAGAAATATTGCTTTGGCAATAAGCTGAAATA